CTAACATTATAGTCAGTGATATATGGTCAATTCACCGTGGATAGTTCACCAATGGATACTTTACTGTGGACATGAGTAGAATTTGTGGAATATGGCTATTTCTCATTTTACCAGTCAAATATTCTCTAAATTATTGTAACGTCTATGATACAGATTATATTATATGATGTATTGTGCGAAAGTTTATATTTAATGTTGTAATGGAGAGTTGATGAAGAAAACTATTATATCTCTTTTGTTTAGCCTCTGTAGATTGAATTAAAATCCACATAAATGTTAAAAATTCATATAAGACCATAAAATCATACAGAAAGCAATGATGCTTTGAGTATTCTCCAGTAAGTTTTTGTACACGTTTTTGAATATATTCTGTTAAAAACTGTCCATTTGACATGCTTTGAGTATTCTCCAAGTGCCTTAGTGATAACCTTGAAAATGTTGTGTAGATCCACAATTTGATGACTTGATAGAGAAGAGTTTCTCTTCCATTAGAAAGAAAAATGCATGTGATTCTTGTTTTGATTTTCTAAAAAAAAATATGGTGTCTCCATGATGAACCATCCATGATAATATATCCAACTTGTTTTGATTTTCTAAAAACAAAATATGGTATATCCAAGATGAACCATCCATGATAAATATATCCAACTTGCATGGTCAACAAAAACATATCCACAATCTCTTCGGTATGAGTCATACTAAGCAAATAAAACATGGCTGGTTCTTACTTAATAATCTACTGAAACTAACAATGGAAGGTAAAGGACGAGACTTGACCATTTCACTTAACAGATCAACTGCATCATTTAACTTCATATCACTACCGCTAGAGAAATCTCGTCCCGAGCAACATAAACCACAATGATTAGACGAAGAAGGAGCAGTTCCAAAATTCCCTCTCCACTTGAGATTCCGATGAATAAATCTCTTCGAAATGGATGGTTCGGCGATAGAAATCGACTTGGTCATCATCTTCTTCGATTTTGCATATGCTTGATTTGGTTCATTCTCAATCTCAAGAGCTTTCGCTCTGCGAATTGCAAAACTCTACATGAATCAATCCAAACCGAGAGATTCACATGAGTTCGTAATTTTGAACAAAGAGCCCTAACCAAATATGGGTTCGTAATGGTGAACAAACAAAATTTTGCTTCAAGGCGTTGGGGGAACGAGCTCGGATGGATAACGACGGTTGCAACGATGAACAACAACAATAGTTTTTTTTTGCTACAAAATTTTGAATCGCTTTCTATGACCAACAACAAGAATATTTCTTTTGATGAATTTGGCTTCGATTCTGATTTCTTGGGATAAATCTATGGTAATCAGATTCCAATTCCATGTAAATCGGAAAGTAAAGTCAATCAAGCGATCGAGAGAGAGAAGTGAGAGTGTACCGACTTCTTCGGCGGAGACGGAGATCTCGTTGGCTTTTTCTTCAACTTTCGATAAACCTCACCATCTGCTCGATCTGACTGGAGACATCAGCGCCGACGAAAAGGTATCAAAATCAACGATGGAGAGAAGAAACCAGTGGAGATCTTGATGATTGATTTGATTTTGATGATGAAGATTGAAGAGAGTTATGTATTGAAACAGATTTGTCTTTATATTGAGAAGAACAAATTATTAAAAAAGATATTTTAAAAAAAATGATAACTAAAGATATATGTTGTTTTCGGAAGTATGGGTAAAAGAGACAAAGAACATCACACCTTTTTAAAAAAGTGTGTTTGCATTTTGGAAGTGTCTATATGAATTTGCAGTAAAGTGTCTCTAAGTGTAATTTTTCCTTAAGTAAGGTAGGGTGACAACTGACAAATATGGTATTACTTCTTTTTTTTTTATCATTTAACACCGAGTCAAAAAAAAAAAATTGGGTCAAGATACCGTCAATTAAAAGTTTAAAACTCAAAATATTCGTAAATCAGATACTGTAAAATTTAATAGGGTGACCAAATATGAATGATAATTTGCAAAATAACAAAAAATATTCTCCATAGCAAAATGCCAAAACACTTTATAAATACTCCGATTTTTCTTGTTACGTAAACATTTAAAATTTTTGATATCTGATTCAATTAAACAATATTAATTCTATAAATAAAATGTTATGAAACAAAAAATTGATAAATATTTTATAGAAATTTAGTGATTGTGGTCTAGAAGTTGGGATCTTGGGGGCCAAAATTTTGTAATTAATCGCCTTCCCAATTCGATCCATTTCTTGGAAATTTACTTACACCAACTAAGTTGGTTGGTCCTACCAAAAAAAAAAAAACTAAGTCGGTTGGCTTTTAGGTTTAAACATGAATAATTTACATGATAGAGCGTACCCAAAGAGTCACCCTCATACTAAGTTTGGAATATTAGAGTTATCCAAAAAAAAAAAAAACCTCACTTATACATAAAACTAA